AACCTTCTTTAAAAATACGTTTAAAAGGCTAAAAAGTGAATGGCTGAAGAATCTAAATAGTCTATAACTGAATTTAATTTAATTAGGTAGAGATGAGAATGACAGTATCAGAAAAGTGATACAGAAATCAACTAATATCAAACTCCAATTTCTTTGAAATTAACAGGATTTAGTTTCATGTAAAAAAGAAATACACAAAACGCTTGGAAATTTCAGATGATTAATTATGGGTATGGTTTATAAAAGAAAAAGAATTCCAATCAACAAGTATTAAAAAAAAAAAGCCTCAACCTTATGATAAAAGTTCAGTGAATAAATAAGCGTTTACCTGTTTTCATTTATAATAGAACATTGAGAGTAGGATTTGTTTTCCCTTTTTGTCTTTACCTTAACTGATCTTTTTGATTGTTCAATTTATACTGGTTTTATTTATAACAAATAAAGGGTGTCCTGTCTTCCGCACCAGTCTCCCCCTCCATCTGCTTTCCAGCTCAAGACCCTCCTCCTCTACTATGCCACTTTCTCAGGTTTACCCCGGAGTCCTCTCCAAACACAGTCTATACCCAAGAGTCCTTCATCTTAATTATCACCCCAACCCTTCTTAGCGGTTTCCAGTAGTTTTTTTACTTCTCAACCCCCCCTGGCACCCTTAAGTGTTTTTTGACCTTTGCTTGTCTTTCCATTCTATTCTCTTTCAGGGTAATTGTCTCACTACAGCTTTACTGCCAATTTGTTGATGACTTCTGAGACATTTTATGAGCTCAAATCCCAAAATTTCAACTACTCACAGAACTTATCTACCTGCTGTCCCATTAGGATTTCAATTCAATTATCTGTGACAGATATACTCTTGAGACATTCAGGCTGCAAACCAAGAAGAGACATTTCAACATTTCAAAGCCATCTTACGCCCGCTCCCGGCCCCTTACCACTCTCCCTCATCCTCCCTATTCACTCCACCACCTCCTTCCCCATCTAGTGCCTTAGGTGATTGACTCTAGTGTTAGGAAAAGATGCAACAGCATTATTCAATATGAATGCACCAAGAATTTCCATAAAGTTGTAATGAATAAAAATTTTCCATTCTACTTAGTTCTCATTTCTCTAATCTTAAGGCCTTTTTGGTTTAATTGGCTGCAACTATGATTAGTTTCTGCTCTTCTTCGATTGCTTTTAAGCTTCTTGAAAGTAATATAAAAAGTGCCTATATTTGAAAGTTTGTTAGTCTCTACTTTCTTAAATGCTTGCTATAAGATAAAAAGAATAAAGTATCCTGAGTTAATGTTTTAGAGCCAAAATAACTATTTTAATTTTTTTGAAGACATTTGAAGTTTGAGATGGAGTCAGGAATTGTTAATTTAATATACATATGCTAGAGAAAA